TTTATCGACGAAGAATGTGAGAAATGTCGTGCGTGCGTAAAAATTGCCAACATTTATGTCCAAGTGTATTTCTCAATATTCTGGTTTTTAAAAGTTTTGTCGCGATATTTCGAAGTGTAAGCGATACGTATCTTCTCTTACACGTAGATATAATTAATGGAATGGAGTAGTGGATAAGAAACAAACTGACTTACGTATATTTTGCCGTGAGAAGTTTCGAATTTGGGCTCAAACTTTAGATGTCATGTAAATTACAAACCGCGGTTCACGTGACAATTCACAAGATCGTGAAATGCAATAATGATATTCAGATATATTTAACTTCTGCAATAATATAACGGCGAAATTGATTTCAAAGAAGCAGCAAGCCGTAAAAGATGTTCGATTTCACAAGTCAAATACTCAAATCTAGGCATCACTACGTCACACCATGTTGCCATTATTTTGCAAGAACTGTGCTCCCCTTCGCATTCAGAGCCATATATCTCCGCTTTTACTTAACATTTTTTAATAACATTTTTTTTGCTTTGGCATGATGTCGCGTTTGTGCACATGTTTAGCGTGATTTCCGTCACAATACCAAAATGCCATTTTTCGYAACCTGTTCACTATTAATTTGTAAACTTTTCCTACGAACTTATTACTTTCGTCTAAGCGAGAAATTTATCATTATTTGTAAAAAGCACTTATGTTCCTTAAATAGACCAAATGAATTAGCCAGCCAATGTCAACACAGAAATAGATTCACACTTAGAAACCATGTAACATAACTCTACCGGATGTAAACTCGATAGCGTTTTTAAACTACCAGCAAACCTTAACGGTCATTCATTCATTGTAACTTGCCTGACGAGTGTGGCCATCTCTGAAGACCATACGAAACCAGCTTGTAGCAATAAAACAATGAATCATTCTAGTCTTTAAGTACAATTTTATTTTTTATATAATGCTCCTTGATAAARTTGAGCACTTTTTTGAAAACATTTTCGACAATTTTAAGTTATATAGCTCCTGAAACAAGTTGAGCGCTGTTAAAATGATACTCGACCAAAAACATCCCGCTGGCAAGCAAAAGCTCGTATCTCCACTCACTGATCTATAAAACAGAGTCACTTAAAAGGCGTCTTAAGGCGACTTAAGGAAATTTGGATGATAATTTGATGAGGTCCCTTGGTGACTTAGGGCATCACCCAATGGTTACAATTCAGATCTATTTGGATGTGTATTAGTGTCTTTTTATGTGGAATTTTACTTACAAATACAATTATTATATATCAAGTGTCAAAGTTCACTTTTCCTAGTATCTTATTGGTCGAGAGTGTACCACGTGAAAGTCACAAAATTTTACTGTTTCCCGGCAACTGTCCACCAGCGGTCAATAATATGTTGTGGACCGTCAATAAGTACAAANAGCGCCACTAGTGTATTTTGCTCGTCTTTCTGGCGGATAATATATCCATTTGGATTATTAAACCCTAAACATGTTTTACTTGGGGTAATTTCCATTCCTTTCTCTTTTTTAAAGCGCTAACTATTACATTATATCGCTACTTCGCGAAGTTTTCATTTCACATAATTTCCCGCCTTGTAGCAAAACCTTTTAATACGGCTGTTGTCAGATATTTCACTTCCGTTCACTGAAAAATTCACTTCCGTTATTCATAATATGCTAATTACACAAAAACGTCACGGACATGCGCGACACGTTTCGAACCCCATGCGCCCAGCCGTCAGGGGAGAGAGTATCGCGGGCGCACGAAATCCCGAAGGCTGGAGACTGAGCCTAGTGCTAGGCAACTTAAAACGAATATCTGCAATGATGATAATATCTTAATTTAAGCCTGTTCCAATTGTTCCACTTAAACTATAGAAATTAATAAAGATACTACATGCTAGTGTTATTTTTGAAATTCACTGATCATACATTGAAATACCAGCCATAATAGAGTGAACTCACTTGATTTGTGCAAACCGCGCTAAACTGAATAGTGCAAAACTAATGATAGATTATGGTAATACTCTATTTATGGTTATCAAAACTATTTAGTACCATAGTAATATTTGTTGGATGAATTTAGTGAGTTCACTCTAGTTATCATTGCCTAAAAGCGTAAAACATCTACATAACAATGACTGTCAGAAGAATTTTTTAAGATGGAATTACAAGGTCCTAAGTTTATCTTTGTTTACTATTTTGCAAATAATATGAAAGAGACTACAAATTACACTCTGTCTTATGTCCTATTCTAGATCTTTATGTTCCTATTAAATCTCAATATGCCTGAGTCACATGCAGTCCTCGACTGCGTATTTTTTTATGTTGTCTTTGACCTTTCTGGAGTTGAAACTCTCGGGGATCAACAGTAACACATTGTAGTCGGTGAAATCGCCGTCTGTC